TTTGTAAAAATAACATACTTGAATTAATTTAATTTTTGATTTAATATAAGATTTTAAAAAGAAAAGGTCACCAGTAGGTTGGATATTTTATGATCTGTGCATTGCCTTATCATAAATAATACGGTTTATAATAATTTATTTTTTTATAATGATTTATCAAAAAGTCCTTACTTTTTAGTGTATTTGTGCAATTTTCCCAATATTTTTTGGATTGGGCTTCACTCCCCTTGGACTGAAAATTAGCCCATTACTTAAAAAAAAAATTATAGGCATGGTGTTGAGCTCAAAAGTTCGGGGTGGGCACTGGTCCTCATTGGGCTCCGCCCCTGTGACTATGTGGTGTTAGCTGATAAATTAAATTAAATGTGAAATTAAATGACTCATTTAGCCTCCATTTGGTCCGGATTAAAATCTGATTTTAATCTAAATCAAAGTCAAACAATCAATATTAACCACATCTTTCGGGAGTTCCACAACTTTTCAACCATACATTTCAAAAACTTCTATTACAATCTACTAAAAATCTAATTTTAATCCCCACCAAACAACCTCTTAATTGTACTTACTATTTAATACAACCTTAGCACTAGATAGAAGGGAGTTATAACCCTAATAGGGCTAAATTGCAATTTTATTACTGTGTTCTTAATTGCATTTGGTGTTGATGATTTGGACATGCGAGAAATTATACAAAATAATATTACATTATATAGCATTTAGCTTTATTTTATTTTCGAAAATGAAAGTATTTAAAAGTCTTTTGATTAATTCCTAACAAATTCATAAAAGTCACTTAGAAGTCCACAAATTCCCAAAAAGTCTTTAACATGAGAAAGAAAAGTTGTTTACTTTCCTCTATAGCCACATGCTGACGGGTCAATGAGCGATTTCTAAATACCTATGACTGTTCGTAACAAGTTGATTTTTTTGTTGTCTTTCCGGCTACAACCAATTCAATCCTTACAAATTGGACCCCCACGTTGGTTTCATTCACTTCATTACCAAGTATTCATTGCACACATAAACATCATAAATCCAAGCAATAATTCTGCATCAAATTTTCCTTTCTTCCATTCAAAAGGAGTACAAAATCAGAGTTTGGTTTGCCATTTCTTGTGATTTGAAATACTGCTTCTGATTATCATAAGGCTTTTCACATTACAATGTGTTTGTGTGCCATCCTCCAATGTTTTCTCTTCTAGAACACAGCTAGAAAATGTGTTTGATCTATGCCAAGGGAAATGTTAAGATTACTGATTTTGGCTTCAGTGCATTACCACAACATCTAAAGGAAGATGGAT